CACACGGGCTTACCCTTGACTTGACCTTGCTCTACATGTGTTATGGACTCCAGAGCCACCAGCAAACCCCTCGGGCCCGAAAGTTTTCGGGGAGTCTCTTGCCTCTCATCTGCTTCAGAGCAACCGAGAAATTGCAGCACCCATTCAAGAATGCATTCACATGCTGCTCAGAACCGGGATGAGGGAGGAGGTGAGGCCATTTTAGTAGCCGATCGTATCATCTGCCCTAAAAAGCTGAAAGGCCTTTTTTCTACACTTCTCTGCAGGGTCTATTTCGTCTGGCGGCGGCGGCCTCAGTGGTGAAAAGGCTCAAGGCTTGCATGGATCAGGGGACGGTTGATCACGGCGAGTTCAGCATGGACCCTCATGCTGTGGCCGGTAAGTTATCATGAACATGAGTTTTCAAAAGGTTGCCAGCACCCTGAAGCCTATCCATTAAATTCTCCAATCTGCCGGCCACTTATTGCACCGCCCATCTATTGGCATGCTGCAGCATCACATGCCCTATATTGTAATGTGTTTTATTTTTTTTACTGAACCGTAAAAAGATGACGTGATTGTCAAGAAAGAAGTGGTTTGCCACAAAGGGAGGCTCATGTGTCTGTTTTGTTTGTTAAATTACTCTCAATAGGAGCTCTGAAGTGTTACCTGCGAGAACTTCCTGAGCCTCTAATGACCTTTGAACTCTACAATGACTGGTTCAAAGCAGCCAGGTGTGTATCAACTCCACTCCTGAGTCCTCACAACATTTTTCATATCACTTTCGTGACTTTAATAGGGAGCATGTCATAGAAATGTGACTTTTAAATTGTACGTCGACAAACAATTCGCTTCTGGTTTTCCGCTTCGTTTCATAATTGATTCTAATGTACATCGCAACCGGCCCGCAGAGCTGCATTGAGTTTTGTTGCATGCACAGATTACCGTTGGCAAGCTGCATTAGCACACAAATGCTCTGTGAAATTGTTGATGCGATGGCGTTGTAATTCTTGACTCTTCATATTTAGTTTGTGTTTTGTCATGTTAAGACACAATTGGTTTTAAATTGTAAAAAAGGAAAAAAAACGTGTGTATTCACAGTGAAAAAGACTGCACAGAGAAGCTGGAGCAGTTCCGAATCCTGCTGAAGAAACTGCCGCCTGAAAACTATAACAATCTCAGGTGCGGAATTATTTGCTTTGTATAATAATTAATTGAAAGTAAACAAGTACAAGTCTTCCCTCACATGGCATTTCTTCATCTATTTTCAGGTACCTGGTGCAGTTCTTGTCGTTGCTGTCCGAGCAGCAGGCTGCAAACAAGATGACGCCCAGTAACATTGCCATCGTGCTGGGGCCCAACCTTCTCTGGCCACAAGCCGAGGGGTAACCATAGGTGTCCAACCGCATATTTCATACCCGTCATCAATCTCATCCTGTCCGCTTGCTCTCTTCCTATTTAGGGAGATCTCCCTGGTTGATATGGCGGCCGCATCCTCAGTGCAGGTGGTGACGGTTATTGAGCCTCTCATTCAATACAGCTCCGTGCTCTTCCCTGAAGGTGAAAGTACAGAACAACTCTCATCATCTGTCCCACGACATTAGCGCTGGTTCTGCAAACTAGAACCACTACAAGGCATTTTTAAGAATACCTCTGAGAACAGTTCTATATTGAAGGCATATTTTTCAATACAGATCTTATTTTACAACCCGTTAGATTTTGTTGATGTACCTATTTGTCTATTTACCGTTTTGAAGACACTGACTCGAGTATGTCAATGGAAACACGGACAGATGCTATTCTGATAGCAGTAGGTAAGCAGAGAATAAACGGATCTATGATGTAAATGTTTATTCAGAGGTGTCCTTTGAGATTCCGGAGCTTCCCAACATCCAAGATGACCAGTCCATGATCTCAGAAAAAACGCCATTGTGCAGAACGTTCTCCGCTCCCTCCGCAGCCTCGTCCTCTTCAACTTATCTTCTCCCTTGCACTAAGACAAACAGGTATAGCCTCAGAATCAGCATAGAAGGCTACTTATGGTCATCCATGTATGAATATCAGACAAGCTATGTTGAAAAGATGTGTTGTTCATTTTTTAGTATAGACAATTATGAGGATCGTTTTGGGCCGGGTCATTATTAACCCAGAACATTATAATTGTGCATGGAAAATGAACAGTCTGTATCCCCTATGAGTAATTGTTGAGCGTCCTTGTGTCCCTTGAAAGATGCTACATAAAAGTATATAAATTATTGTCATTATTCTTAGATGTACTTTTTTGTCTGCTTGTAGCATGCCCTCTAAGGACGAGATCAACGTCTCCTCTGAAAAGTTTGTAAGACACCAAGCGTGGGCTGCTTCCGCAACCAAGGCTGCAACCACAATCCAAAAAGACACAACGATAGCCACCAGCTCAGCTCCCACAAGACCAAACTTGTTGCCAAACCAGAACCTAACTCCACATCAAAGAATCACAGGGTCCCACCCAAGACAGAGCAGGGACCCCACGCAGAAGCCATGCTTGGATCAATTAGAGCCCATTTCGGAGGTCCAGCCCGTCTCAACTAAAGCAGTTGTGATGATGGCCATGCCGAAACGTGAGTCAAAACACACTTGACGTTTCCAGAGCAGGGGCGGGAAAACTTTTGTGGTCAAGGGCCACATTTCAATGTTAGAAAACATAAGAAAAACAAAAGACTTATCAATGTGTATGTGAAAAAAGTAAAATATTTTATTTTAAGTAATAAATGATGTACTTGTTAATTATTCTAATAATGAAACAATAGTTCATTCCTGTTATTCATAAATAAATGATTTCATTTAAAATGTGTATATTTACAAATACATGGCTTTGATAAAATGTATGATGGATGGATATACATATAGCTATGGAATGTATTTTACAGGATGGAAACACTTGGTAGACCGCCTTAAAAGATGAAAGCCATTTGTACCCCCCGTTCCAAACTTTGCCCACCACTGCGGTAGCATAACCATTTGCAATTTGAATTGTGCAATGGTGAGATCTGACCCCAAAAGCCACGATCATATTTCCTTTACTGGTTGCTGTTGTTGAGCGCAGATATTGGGGTGTCTCTTTCCATTGTGTAAAGTCCTGAGCACATTCTTGACATCTGTCTTTTCCTTTCACAAGTTTAGTTAGTACAAGTCTACAGAGGGAAGCTAAATCCAGATCAAAACAGGAAGTTTTGCATTACCCGTCAAAATATCACCCACTCAATTCGTGCGTCATCTTGCATGTTGTCCTAACCACGACAGGGGTGGGCCCCCGCAGCTCATAGTACTTTCCCTCAAGTACTGGTTTCTACTTTGTCGTCACCGTGCTTGTGCAAGACATACTAATCCTCTCGTCAAGCTGAATCCGACCGGCGTATCACATAAATTGTCCGTCCATCTTACAAGTCTGTACATTGTCTCTCATTTGCAGCAAAGAGGAGCATCAGTGTGAGAAAAGCCAACGAAGCTGACGAGCCGTTCGCGGTTCACTACAGCAAGCCCAAAGCGCCGGTGCCGCCAAAGCCTCGGGCTTCTGTGGCTCCCCCTGCGACAGTCGGGACACAGGTGACGCGTCCGCCACCCACAGCTCAGCCGGTTGGTCTTAAAAAGCCGCCCGTTAAAAAGTCTGGACTGAAAGCCCCCAGTTGCCCTCCGCCGCTTCCCCCTGCGTTACAGTCCAAAGAGGCTCCCTCCATAGCACAGTAAGAGGAGAGCTACACTATATGGACTTAAATTTATCACATGCAAATATTTCATATGAATAGGTCTTTATACCACGACATTCCATTCTAATTCATGTCGGAAGCTGTCATGATTATGACTTCCAATACATTTGCCCCCACTATTCCAAATTCTTAACAACCGTCTTTATTTTTCACCCACTGCAGTCTTTTATTTTCCGGAGAGCAATCGAAGATAATAACGTCACTCCCAAGCCTCGAGGTTGAATCTTTTGCTTTTTGAGATTTATGAACTTACCATCCAAACTCCACAAACGACAGCGTCTTTATTTCCAATTCATATCATTGTAGTTTGTCATAAAGTATAAGGTTGGACCGCTCTATGTTCTGAAAGTGCTTATGAGTACATGTTTATTGGGCAGTCAGCTGATATTCTCATGTACATTTGTAGGCAATAACCTAGACATTACAATGTGTCTGTTCGAAACATAGTTCCTCGTTAGAGGTGCACAGAGTTGATACAAATGGTCTGCAGCATTAAAGGAACAATTACATAGTACAGCCTGTACTGTAGTTGACAACACCAAACACTGGCGTTATTGTCATGTTACTCAATTTGTGTCACGCGATAACTCTCATCCATTAAAACACTGTAAAAATCGTTACGATTTTAAGGCTTCCCCTTCTTGTCAAGGTAAGTCTTCAATAAAATGACTTGCAATGTTCTGAATTGAAGTTCAGCCCGAGACGCATGCTAACTGCACACCGACCTCCAGAAACCTTTCGTTTGTATCCGTGTCCGCGACTGATGGCGGTTTTGCAGCAAGCACATTAGAATACCCTTAGATTGTCCTCCTCCCGTACGAAGAAGTAGTGAGTATAAAGTGAATGGCAGGACTTCTTTGTTGAGTAACGTTAGTGTTTCCTCTCTTTCTTAATCTTCGGTGGGGAGTGTTTTTTTTTTTTTTTTTGAGCCTCAGTTCAAGACAGTCGTCACAAAATGTTTAGGTTATTGGGCTTTCAGGTGATATTTCAGGATGAATCTACAATGCGCCACGATCTTTACAGCTGAATTTATTTCGAGCTTCTCTGAGCTTTTGAATGCACTATACCAGTTGTGAAGGTCAAATTCAGTAGTAGTGAACGTCTGTGAGTAATTGACCCCCCCCCCCACAAAAAAAGTTTATATTTCCCTATTGATGCTACAAGATGGTAGGAAAGCATTACTTTTGTTCAAATGAAAATTTTCAACTTGCCACCAAATGGTGCTAAAGCACCACTTTTTGTCTAAATCGAGCTGCTCAATCAAGTGCAACATAGTTCCTTGACACTAAGCCATCAGAAGATGGCGCCAGAGTAATGCTTTTATTTTGTCAGCCTGAGCCCATGAGCAGTGAATCTGTGAGTTTCAGGGAAGCCATTTTAGGTTTAGCCCAATATCCTGAACTTTGTGTACATTGAAAATATGTCAGTCCTTAATGTTGTTGCATTTGCAGCAAAAATCATGGCGCCATTAGTGGAAAAAAAAATCTCCAGCATTCATGTTAAAAATAATATCCTCCATTTGCAGTCTGAGAGTCATTGCTGCCGATTTGGTTATTGGATTACAATTACAGAGGAATCAAAGAGTATATCCGGTAATGAGTTTCATGTTCAAACAGCTTAGACTTTGATTTCATCATCATCATCGTCTGCGTAGCTATAGGATATCTTCTTCATCCTCTCCGAATCCACCGTCTCCATCCGGTTGTGACCGCCGTAATGGCGTGCGAGCACATCGGCGGCACTCTGGAAGCGCTCGCTCTCCATCCTCACCGCTAACCTCGCTCGCTCAAGCGAGCCTCCCCTCAGCGCGTCAGGTAATTTCCCGGACACGGCGATTTCGTTCATTTCATTCGCACTTCCTTCGTCGTCGTCCCATTCCGCCCCCTGCGGACTCTTCCCGCCCGCGCAGTCCTCCCTCAGCAGGGAGTCCACGTAAGAGATAGTAGCCGAGTCCATCTCTGATCCTTCGTTGGTGAGACCCCACGGCGACCCCGTCTCGTCTCTCTCCCAGGTGTGACTGTCTCCGTCCAGTAAGCCGAACACCTCGCTCATGAGGGAGGGGCCCAGGTCGAAGTTGAAGGTATCCAGGGAGGTGAGGGAAGCGAACGAGCTGGAGAAGGCGGTTGGCTTGGGGTCAGAGGTCACAACGGCGGTAGAGCGGGTGGTCAAGATGGCGTCGGCGGGGTCGGTCAGAGAGCCGCGGTGCACGTTGGCCGAGTAAGGGGCCTGGTTGGAGACGGACGGCTGCTGACGCTCGGAGCGGGACAGACGAGGAAGTGTGACGAAGCCGGACTCCAAACCTGAGGAGAATAGAATTGCACGCATTATGTACTGAACAACACAACATACTTTTTCAAAATATCACCATTGCTAATACTAGAATTTGGGAATTAGCATCAAGGAACAATTTAGTGACTTGTGAATCTTGGTGACAAAATGTGCATCTATGGTACGTGTATGGTGGACAGTGAAGTGCAAACGTTTGTGTTTCGACACTCAATTCCAGACGTATGAGCACGTTCTTGGAAGGACTTGTCAAAATGTACTCTATAAATCCAACAGGGGGCAGTACAAACCATAATTTCTGACAAATTAACAAACTACAATTTAAGGAGTTTCCTCCTTGCCACCATTGGACAGAACGGTATAACTGTAAATCTACTAAAAGCCCATTTATAAAAGACATTTATAAAAAATAAATAAATAAAATCCATTCCTCTTTAATGAAATGTCATAGACGTACTCCACTAAAATTGCCCCCAAAATCATTTAAGACAGACACCAAACAGAACATAGTAGTGTGTGTATATGATTACATTTTTTTTTCTTAGATTTATGTGGCTTAAGTCCGGTATCACTGTGAGTTATTCGTAGACAAACTCCCATCGGTTTATTGCTGCTCTTTCTGGATGGCTGTCTTTTATCAGTGCAGAAGCTTCTGCTAATGCGCCAAAGTGATATATAAAGGCATCTGGGGCAAGTCTGTCTAAATCATTGAGTAGACCTGACTGGTGCTCTTGCGCATGGTCGCCAAGTCTTGCAGAGTTTACAACAGGGGGCCCTGCGTTAACTCGTTTGACCCCCGCTTGTGTGTTTTACTGCGTTCAGCAACCGGGATTTAGTTTTTTGTCCCGTCGTAATCGTAGAGGACGATTCTGGGATTTGGTTGAGGAGCATATGACACTTGGAATTTCCAGAGAAGATATATTAGCTTTTTCTTTCAAATGCTGTTTTTCAGATCTTTGCTTCTTGTGAGAAAACAAATCGATGTACTGCAATTTTTTTTTTTCCTAGGTGGTACTAGATGTAAAAAGTGTGAGACCCACTGAGGAAGTATCTTTCTAAACTTTAAGCTCGGTGGTACTCGTCAACCCCTGTAGGGAAACACTTGACATTTCATCAGCTCACCATTCCAAATGTCTATCCTGATGCGTTGGAATTTATGTGCTGACGCCACAAAAAACACAACCAATGGAAATTCAATTGGGGGCGGAGGGGTGGGGGGGTCATTTTATTGCGGTGGACCCGAACCCTCTGCTTGAATGGCGCGGCTCAGCGGGTGATGCTGATGTTATTTCAATGTGCGAGCGTCCGCTGCTGGGCGTCAGGTAGCGGCAGTTGCATGACCGCAACGCGCACACGACTCGGCAGCAGGAGATCTGTTTTCACCATTTGGTGCCTTAACCTCACCCGACCCTGACAGGATTCACACATTGTAACCTAATTTTTTTTTTTATAAGTGTTAATTTCAAAAGGCTATCATGCCAGTAAATTCAGATAGTCTGGCATCGGATTGTGGCGACTTGTCATTTTAGCCTAACAGCGGTTACTACAGTGGACAGCTTATCATGTTATCACATTACAGGCTGCATGAGAGGGCTTAACATCACTTCATGCGGTGTATACCGTCATATCATGGTCTGCTAGAGACTGGAAAGATGAATCGAGTGACTTGATCCGAAACTAAATTGCTGCAAACAGACGCCTGCCGCGTGAGTCATCAATGCCGATGCGAGCCCAGAAAATCAACCGCAAAATCAAAACCGTCAGCAGATGTTAAAGTGTTCAACAGAGCAGAAGGAAATTTGGAAATTTGTCTAATGGTTTGTTGTCTTTGCCGTAACCTGAGCCATAGTTAATGGTGGAAATTCGCCTTGATGGAACGTCTTCAGGCAGCTGACTCTGAGGTCACACAATTTGAAATCTGGCCGAAAATGTTTTTTTTTTTTTTTTTTTTTTTTTTTTTTTTTTTTTTTTTTTGCTTCCGAAGTCACTTTCATGTAACATCTCTACTGATTTGTGTTAGACCCTCTATTGCATTTCACATTTTGCTAAAATTGTAGTTCCAGTTATTGTAAGAGCACTAGTTTTTTTAATCCATTAATGAAAATGATTTTTCGATATTTAGTTGATTTTGTTACTTTACATTGACTATAATAACCTTACAATAGGTGAAGCAATCAGGCTACGAAATAGAAAGAGACTCCAGTGTCACGATAGGATTTGTCAAATATTACCATCATTCAGTAATGTTTATCTTTTCACATTCTTCATTCAAAAAAATAAACAGGAGACGAAGCATTGACCAAAAGGCTTGTACTTTGGATCAGTGGGCTTACCGTAAGAACTTTTCCTCTCCCCTGGTGTGCTTTGACAACTGGGGAAAAGCATCTTTGTGGTGGGGCTCCCATTATACATGTCCACGTCCAGCCTTGGAAGGGAGACGGCATTCTTGATGATGGGAGAAACGGCCGGGGGAGGCAGTGACGCATCCTTGGAGCCTTCTCTGATTCTGTTGTCAGAGCCCCTCCTGATTTGTCGGAGTGTCCTGGAGAAAAAGGCCCCGATTTTGTTGTCGGGGCTGGACACCGAGTCCGTTTCCCCGTTGCCGCCGTTGGCGGAGCCGCCGTGGTTGCTGAGGAAGGAGGTGTCCCCGAACACCTCGCCGCCGCGGCCCACGTGCATGGTATGGCGAAAGTCGCCCAGAGGCGGGCTGATCATGTCCACCGTCAGGTCGGCTTTAAAACGCCGTTTGCTGTGCGAGTGCGTCACCAGACCTTTCAGGCCAGAGAGCTTTTCCTGGAGATTCATGTTTACCAAGCTCGGAAAAATGTTCCGTTAAAGCTGAAACTATTTGGCAAGTGAGACTTCAGTTCACCTCAACTCTTACAGTTACCCCAAGTTCTGAAAACATGTGATCTAAATGAGTCAAAAAGCCCAGGCCTGCGGCACCAGATACTTGAGTGAAATATTATCTATGTTTATCGTGCGCAAGCCAAAGTCTGTCCCACTCTTTGCCGGTCATCGTTATGCGGAGCTGGCAGAATCAAAGCAACATAAATTGCAGAGAACACTGCGCAGTTGTGTCCCGGGCAGAAGCCGGGCCAGTTGGAGTGCAGTCAAGTCCCTGGTTTCCTTCGCTTTTGGCTTTGTCGACATCAGCTCCGAAATAGGTCCGAGTCCAGCTGCAAATGCTTCTGTGGTCACACCGTGGAAGAATGTCTACGGAGAGTAAAAAAAGGGAGAAAAGAAGGGTCTATCTTTAAAACGGAGGCAGGAGAAAGAAACGGACGACAGTCGGGAGGTTGTGCTGCGGCAGTTGAGAAGATTTAGGCTGAGACCGTGCGCGACGCTTCCTAAAACGCAGAAATCCGAACTGTATTTGTCAAAGGAGGCAAAGGTACTTCAACTATTTAAGTACTTCGGTCAAAATAAATAAGTGCGGACTTCAATGTACTTCATATTTGACTGTGAAATATATCGACCTATGTGACTTGGGACCAAATTGGGGCCCGTGGACCGGTGGTTGCGCACCACTGTTGAAAATGTCAACTAGCGTGGAAGAAGCTAAATTTAGACCAAAGTCATTGGGTGGAGAATAAAAGTCTGTGGAGCGTGCTAAAAACTTGCAGGGTGATTCCTTCTTCTATTCTATTGTTTTTAACGGTCATAAATATGACCCGAAGGAGTTCGCTTTTGGCCTCGTTCGTCACCGCTTAGACAGTTTTATACAGTACGTGTGTAGGAAATTGTTTTCCTCACCAGAAGCTGGTCTTTGCCAGCAACAGTAATGAATAGCCAATTCCTAAATATTTTGATAACATAAGGGCCCTGACAAGCTCCTCCGCTTCTCTTTAAAAGTCTTTTGCACAGCAGCGGTCTCATTCGGGGCTCCTCCACATGCGGGGGCGGGGGGGGGCCCCGTCTAGGCTCCATTAATGACTCGCTTCGGTTTGCGCGATGGCGATTGCGTCAGGTCCAAAGCAGTCTTTCTAATTTGCTGCTGACCGCAGTCACCAAGCCCTCTGCTCCACTTCCCCTCCGGGCTGGCGTTTTAAGAGGGGCATCTGGAAGCCGAGAGGGAGGAAACGCACCACATACCAGTGCTGAGCGGAGCCATATCAAGTCTTGCAAAAGAGAGAGGGGGGAAGAAAAAAAAAAGGACACGTGTTGAAGCAACGGTGGCATAAGCCTACAGGGAACTGCTTGCACATTCCCATGAACTGAACTGAACCGGGCTGGATATTCGCAGACTCAAAAGGCGGGAAAAAAAAATGTCCCTAGCCAGGTTGGACAAGAAGCGATAACTCACTGGATTAGGGGAACGACACATGCGGTCGTGAATTACCCCCGATTGTGATTTTTTTTTTTTTACGGGAAGCTGTGATGTATCGTCTCTGCCTGTCAACCATCGGGAGACCTTTGACCGCACCACAGAGGCGCTTGCTCAACCGTTTGGGACTCCCCCAGGCCAGATACGGCCGTTCTCATTTGTACTTGTTTATGTGTTTGCAAGGTTGCGTAAACACTCTTTTTGGCTGTCAGATAAATAGCCCGTTAAGCACCACCAGGCTGTAAAAACATACGGTAATGGCTTTAAAGCTATAATCCTTGTGGTGATCTGCCTAAAGGAACTTTGGGGACTTGGACATACCCTAGATAATCCTCTAAATCTTCATCTCTGGTACCCCTAAATATGCACGTCTCTCTGGCAGAGGTCTTGGTGATTTTGGCTGCTGTTTGAGGAAGCTAAATCAGAAAAACAGTGATGGAAATTACATTTTTGTGCCGACTCTGAATCGACCCTAGTTTTTTTTTTCCCTATACGCTTTCATAATGATATAATAGGTAATATCGTAATGTAGTTGTATTTAATGACAATTAGTGCACAGTTCGGCCTCGCTAGTAACGTGTAGTCGTTTTACTAGCGCGCTCTAGTCATTCTACTAGTGTGCGGAACGGTGGTGTGGTAGAAGAAAAAAACATAACTAGTAAAACAGTCATTCTATTACCGCGCTGAACTGTTTTACTAGGAACGGCAAACAGCGTACTAGTACATGTACATGTACATGGAGTATTCAGTGTACTAGTAGGATATTGAATAAACAAACAAATGGCTTCCCCATAATGACTTCCTGTTTGTGTTCCGTTATACTTTAAATATTGAGGCACATTCGGAGTCCCGCAGTGTGAAAGCCTCGCCTCTGCTGTAGGTCCACCTCAGTGGACTTTGTTAACCGTCTCTCCGTTCATGTCCTTCAGATTCTGACTCAGCTAACCAGGTGAACAAACATGCAAGATAAGGCAGCATTTTTCAGACTCGCATTTTTAGGCTTTCTACTCCGAACCATCACACTCAGCCTTAATCCAAGCACAACACTTCGTCTTCGCTCGAGAAAGCATGTTCAACCCTCGGATAAATATCCACGCTCGCTCTGGCTCTCCGCCGTTTGTTGTTTCTTCATGTGTCGCCGCGGCAAATAATAAACGCGTTTCTTTTCATCAGCCCCTTTGTTCTTTCCAGCAGCAGAACCTCAGAGGAAGTCACAACATGACGGTCAGTTAATCGTGAGAGCAGTGCCCGACACAAGTGCAGGGTGAAAAGGAGTTGGGTTCTCGAGGCTCACGAAAGCAAATTAGTCTGTCGACTGTTGAAAATGAGTTTCAGCCTTTTGAACGTTGTTGCGATATGCTTCCAACTGTGTGTTAATAGTTTTGGGGAAGGCCCTTTTCTGTCCCAGCATGGCTGTGCCAAACTCCATAAAGACATGCTCGGTTGAGTCGGTGTGAGGAACAAACCCTCCAAACATATCAGAGATTAACCGAAGCAAAGATTGTGAGCTAGTCGTCCTTGTCGCAAACGATTCTTCCCCAAGAAACACAAATTCTGAGTGGGAGCTTGTTAATGACATTTTAGCCAATCAGAAACCTGAAGACGGTCACCTTCAGAAAGTGATGTGATGACAGACCGTGATACTTTCACCAGCATCACCATGTCTGGTGGGACAAAATGGTTGGGAATCCAAGCGGTGTAAAGACAAACAAAGCACCCGGATTCAAAGTTCGCACCTCTCCAATGGACTCCTTCCTCGTTGCGTCAATGACACTTGAAGGTCACAGCAGGTCAGGCTTCAAAGGAATGCCAAACTTTAGTTTAAAATAGGGTTCCTCCCCCCCAAAAAATAAAAAGAGGCTGTGGACGAAATAAAAAGCTCCAATTTGGGTTGTGTCTCACTCAGAGTACAATGGCAAGTAAAGTCGAAAAAAAAAAAATCCCCGGATGACACATATGGCTGAGTTCATACGGGAGCAGGAAATGTCGGATGTAGCGTACGCCCACTGTGTGGAGACACCGCTGCTTACAGACGTGCGCAATGACTTCAACTTGGAACAATCGCATTGTGACACAACTCCAGCCAGACTCTTGAGCCATGTTGAGCGGCAACGCAGGCTGGATTTTTCGTTGATTGCACTTATGTTTGTCCGTTGGCTTTCCTGCTCCCGTGTGATGTGTGTGTGTGTGTGTGTGTGTGTGTTTTTGTGTTTGGGTGGGTGTGTGTGTGTGTGTGTGTGTGTGTGTGTGTGTGTGTGGCATTTCACACAGTGGTCTCCTCTTAGGGTGTGGGGCTCATAAGCCCTCTGCTCCTAACATAGTGCTGCTATGGTCCCTAGTTAAAACTCCTCAAGGCCACTGAATATCAACACTAAGTCCCAAAGCACCCTAATAAATTTTAGGTGATGTGGAGGAACTTGTAATTCCAGGGTATAGATAATTAAAAAGAGAAACGATTTATTCCTGATACATCCGCAGCAAGGGTATAATAATGATGATATATAGAATCGCCGCTGCTGGCTGCTGTGGTGTATAAATATGTCAGCAAGGAGGGTTGAGTTTCACGCAAGAAACCCGAGGAGACTCTTTTACAACTTTTGACAGGACTGAAACGGCCACTCAAAACATTTCTGGACGTGAATACCACATTTCTCCACGTTTTCTCACATCTAAGTCACATTTGCATCGTCAGAAACTCAACCCGGTGTGCTTACTAAGTTACCCAAGTCAGCTAGAAATAGGCTTTGCTGCTTTTAAAACTCATTCACTGCCGTCGACGGCGAGAGAAGTCAAAAGGGCCATTGTTTGACCATGGGCTTGTGTTGAACGAATTAATGATTTAAATTTAATAATCAAACTATAAATTGAAAGTGGCAGACATTTGAGCCTCACGTCGAAGATGAAGGTCGAATAATTCTGTTCTTGTTGTTTAGATTACATTTAGTATTGTTTCATCTCGTGTCTTCTTCTTGTGATTGTTTTGGCAGTCGATCAACAATGTCATGGCTCATTTCCGCCATCTACTGGTTCGGAGTGTGAACCACAATGTCGAAAATTAAATAAATAAATGGGATCTTTTTTTTTCAAAGTAAAATAGTCACTCAATTCTCTCCATCATCTTTGTTTGTCCATTGAAATAATCACACTTGTTTCTTGAATCATTTTGTAAAATACTTTATCTGTAATATTTGGACACTTTGCCGGCTGCTGAATTTTGGGCAACCACCCAGGTAGACCCTAAACTGATTGGTCGTCAGTCAGTCGCAGGTCAGGGACAATTTAAAGTCACCCATGAATTTAACAAACATGTTTTGGTATGTGAGAGGAAGCCCGAGTACCTGCAGAAGCCACCCTTGAGATTCGAACCCCCGATCTCTACTTTGAGGCAGACATGGAAACCACTGTTGCACTGTGCTGCGTGTTTCTGAGAATGCGCATGAAAAAGTGAACCTTTAGCTCAAAGTAGACTCTGAAAACTTGAGTGCAAAGTACCGCACAATTTAAAATCGGAAACTTTCGCCGTGCAGCATTATAAGCCACGAACCAAACAACCCGAAACATCTTCGCCGCCGATGTTTTTTACAGCTCCGCTGATGACAGATATGATTTAACCCTCGCCTTGAAGTACGCGCACATCGGCACGACAGAGCAGTGCGGTCCCTGAACAAAGAATAGCGACTCACCTAGAAAGCTGGAGAAAGCCGAAAAAAAAAGTGACTCGAGTGATGTTTCCGAAAAAGGACAGAGTCGAAGTTGGTCCGAGTGCGCCGATTGCTCGACAGGACAGTGCCACTGGCTTGTGTGCAGGAGCGTAGCGCGGAGGACGAGGAAAGGGGCGGACCGAGGGTCCGATCCACTATCGGGAGTCCCCTCCACGCTGATGGGATGTGCACCTACAAGTTGCCAAAATGACTTGTCAACAACGATTTTGTGTGCGTGTGTGTGTGTGTGTGTGTGTGTGTGTGTGTGTGTGTGTGTGCGTGTAAAACAAAACGAAGCCGTCAAAAACTTGCAATGTTTCATGCTGTCATGTTTAACAATTAGCATCCTATTCAGGGTCATGTTTTAACATTGACTTTCAAAGTTAACAGTGGCTATTGGACACACAGTTAAGCACATGGCGTGTAAGTAAAAAATAAATAAATAAAAAATTTGAAATGCAACTCAGAACAATAAAAGCATAGACCAACGAGACTGCTTTTTCTATTTCCCGTGACCTCGTACTTCCAATCTAATTGCGCTCCTCGGATAAAAACGGGACTACAAAATGGCTGCGAAACGCTCACGTCAGTTGTATCGTGCTGACCTGTCCCAACAGGAAAGCGGGCCTTATCAACAGGAACACGAGCATCCTCGCCCCGTCCTCTTCAGGCCTTCCAGCTCCAAAGTAACCCAGGACCACCGACACTGCGGCCAACAATTTTTGCACACACTCAAACCCACGCTCAACTCCCATGCTTGCTGACGAAAGCAAACACAATCTGTCACAACTCTGCTCTGATTTTGATGAAAACATGTCACAGTCATGTTAGTAAGACACCAATAGTTGTGAAGAAGGGTAAAAAAAAAAAAAAATGCACCATCCGTCTCCTGTCATTGGGCTAACTAGGTAATCAGTGATGGCCTTTTATGAAAGAACTCCTTGACCTCAGAAGACAGATAATGTTTGATACACACGTGTAATCTGTGCAGTGCTGGCAGAGGACATGTCAGTGTGCGATTTGGCGTGTGCAGTTTGTCTGTCTCGTCTCCAGCTGTCACCTCTGGCACCCACTCCCCCCCTTGGGGGCGTAGAGTTAGCACCCTTCACCAACACCTCTTCCAGAACTAACAACCAGGAGATCATTCCTCGCAGGTGACTATTGTAATATTATTATAAAAAGGTTTCAAGATCTTTTGTCACAATAAGATGTGGTTTTTTTTTTCATCCCAATAAGGTTGGGGCGTTGTTGCACACTGACGGCAGGCATGTTCATTGCGGTGGGACGAGTTCCAGACCCATGCCCCCGGTGGGGTGGCTTGTGATGTTGGTGAGTGTGTGTGTGGGCGTGAGCAGTGGCTCACAGCAGCTCCTGCGTACATGCATGCATGCATGCGCTTTATGTATTTTAATATTCTCCTGGCATTCAATAACGAAAGGGTGTTGTCGACTGTGGCTCTCCTTTCCCGTATCCCAGGGCATTATAGGAAGTTAATAAACTGTTTCCAGTTTATTAACTTTGATTGGGGGAAAAAAAAAACCCTGAATAAGGAACTGCGATTTAGCTTGAGAAAACTGGACTAGTTTATATAATTAGATTGACGGCACACTCATTGCATTGCACATATTGTTGCATTTTACCCAAAGAATCTTTTTAGAATCGAATATGCAGAAGACGAATTGTTGTTGTGTTCACACGGCCGCACGACGACTTTTTTCCCCTCATTTGTGGGCGTGTGTGCATTTGAAATGTTTTTTTTTTCTGTTGCGCTTGAGAGTTTAATAGACGTGTTTACAATTCTCCTGCTGTTTTCATTGGCTTTCGGGACTGCTTCCCATGTCGCTGCAAAGTAACTGGCTGGAACTGTCCTTTTTCTTTTTATATCCAGTCCAAGCATTTATTCGTACGCCTGCCTGCTTCCTAATCCTCACATCCACCCCCTTGGTTTTATATCGGCCAACAATCTCTGTTCTGAGGCGTGACAGCTATTTACTAAAAAAAAAAAAAAGAAATAAATGCATGTACGACCTTGGATCCAAATTCTTGTCTGGTCCCCAAAGAGAGGCAGAGGTCACTTTTTTTTTTTTTTTTTTTTTAATCTAACTCTATGTGACCATCTTGCACTGTTTCTCTCTTCTGACAAAAACACGTGGAGTGAATGGAAGAGCCGTTGTTTGAGCCTCTCAGCAGCTTGTCAAAAAGCCCTTTGGGAACAACACACTTAAAAGTCACACTTGACTCATTCTGTACCGGCGTTGACTTATCAGTGATATTTCGGACCAATGTTTTCCAGGACGATGATTCTGAAGACATTCCACTAATGACAATGTCACATGTAAAGTGTACGTGCTTGTTTTGAAAGTCCAAATATGGAGATAAGATGTCTGGTTCACACACATCCTCGTCTGCGGCTTTCAACACAATGGCGCACCGCTTGACCGCAGGAACGACCCCTGTAAATCATTTAAAACCACAACACGTTACTTTTTAGCTGCCCCGCTCTTACATTTTCCACCGACTACTTCATTTTGCGTTTCTTTAAGTTAATTTATTACTAGGTGTCTTTTTTGCAATGCTGTACTCCACACTGCTGGAAAACTGGGAAACATCCGACTGAAGAGGTGCGAAGCATTCCTATTGAAAGTCAATTAAAAAAAAAAAAAAAAAAAACATGACCAAAGACCTCTCTTGGGGAACTTTTTTGCACAGGCACGTGCCCCTTTGCCCCAGATGAGAAAAGTGCCCTTTGCCTGAACCAATTTTTTGTGAGGCACTAACATAAGATTAATGACGGTTATCGTAAGTGTCCAACTGCATGTTGAGTAGCTGATAATGAGTAGGTTTTGTCCTCAGTTTATAAGACAGAGATAGATTGAAGGACAACAAAAAAAAAAAGACATTATTCAACCCTTTTAGCGACAGCGGTTACGACAGTGGACAGACAGCTTATCAGGTTACAGGGGCATGAAAGGGTTAAATGTGCGATTTAAGAGGAAAAAAAATGTACATTTGAGGGAAAAAAGCAGATGAAAGGATTTTCCGGGGAATGACTTTTACACATTTCTGTCTTGCAGCCAAACACATTAAGAGTTGTTCCAGTGACGCGAAGCGCGGCGAAATCCAATTTCAAAGAGGCGGAGACCACGGAATCAACAGTGCTCTGAAATTATCTCCAATGGTTTGGGAAAAAAAGTCTATTGTGTCGCAGCATTCGATGCCGTGTAGTACCCCAGCGTAATTAGTGCGCTGGTTCCATAATTGTGTGTTTGTGGGGCTTTTACTGGCATCTCAGAAGAGAAATGGAACTAAACCAGGCCAATTAAAGTTGTTAACATCGGCTCAAAATGGAATATAAAAAAATGCTGGAAAGGAAATACAAAACATTTCTAGATTTGAGATGAAGACAACTTTTTTTTTTTAACTCAAAAGGTCAAACCACCGCAAACGCTCGCCATGGGGTTCCGTTGAAATGCCACCGCAAATGACCCAAGTAAACAACGCGGGGAACATCACCTTTTTTTTTTCTCTCCATCTGTTTGTTGTGATTCACCAAATGTCGCCGTTTGATAACATGTTAGCAGAGATTTTACCAAAAGAAGGTTTAGGCAAGAAAATTCTACTACGGTCGTACTGTACGTTTGTGATCCCATTCCCAGACTGTTAAAAGAGCGACGACACGCCAGACCGGTTTCCATCCCATCACAGGGCACGAATAAAACACATTTAAATACGACAAAATGTCCTCCTTCCCGTGACGAATCTTTTTTTAATTGACAATGCAGACGGCCTTACGGCCGGGCTGATGCTTGATCCCCGCAAACCAGACCGCTAGAAATGAGTAGCCGACATCTTTTTATCGTGCTAATTTGAACGGCTAAGAATAACAGCGGCTACTGTGTTTTTCAGGAGTCTGGAACCAAACGTCCGTCTCGGGAGTCTGCAGTTCACACAGGTGCTTTTTTTTTTTCTTTTTCAACTATACATTCACAAGTTCATGTGTTTTTTTTTTTGGTAGCATGCTATTTTGGTAGTGGACCAAAGGGGGAGGGCAAATGGCTTGTTTTCATTCACATAAACCCCTGATTGCATGTTTTCGTAGTACTATTGGCTGTTTTTCTAAGACTGCTAGAAAAATATTTTCAAACATGCCGAGAGAAAAGAAAATGATTTTGAGTCATGACTTTGCGCGCCGCCTTTCGCTCGAAACTAAATTGCATTTATGCAAGACTGGCAGACATTCCTTATCACACGTGCAGATAATTATTTTCACACTTAAAACACCCCATCCCCCCACGTTAACAGCCGAGCACTTGTATTCAGAGGCAGCTAAGCTTCGAATTATGGGACAGTGAATCAAATCCCGCTGAAGCCCTAAACTGACATCGTTCGGCATCTGCCAGCCTACAAATCAAAAACCCAAACGCTGTGCCTGGTGGGGGATTCCAGACTGGAACTATGAACAAAAAAAAAACATCAACAGACCACAAAGTCACTTTACTATTCGCTACAAAGAATGACGAGATTGTTGAAAAGAATGAGCACATTCAGCGGGGGTGGGGGAGGAAAAATGACGTTGTGACTCATATTCTACGACTATACGGTGAATTATTAGTCAATATGGGACACAGATCATAAGCGATTGCATCACGGATCTTTTGACGCCAAAGTGTTGAACAACTCATCTTGACGAAAACGATGTGCTAAGCTGTGAGTTGACCGAGAGGTCATTTCGTTCTGATGACGTCAGGAGTAAGACTTACGTTTCGTGTCCTATCGCCATGCGATGTGTCATGCTGTACATTCTATAACGGCTGTATCCAAAAAGAAAATGACATGTTTTGGTGTTCTGATTTTTTTTTTTCTTCAGAACAGTACTGGTGTACCAAGTTCCCACATACAACATACAACGTTGGGTAAGAGTCAAGAAACGTTCTAGCTACTCTGTAAACAAATGCAGGCTTTTGTTAACGGGTGTGACAGCTAGTAATCTGCTTTTGGCTGCATGTCAAACTCATTTGAAACTGCATACTGACCGGGTATTTTCCTGAGCTTTATACAAAATATATCAACTTCTAAAAAAAATGAGGAGACAAAGCAACCATTCTACATGTCATAGTACATATAAATCGGAATTTTAAACACACCTTCAATATCACAAGAGTCTCACATCGACCCACGCAGCCAATTCGGCAATGATCTCAGACCATCCACATGGCAGCAACGACCTATTTTTTTTCCCTCCCAATTAGACCAAACAGGAAGGCGTCTCTTCACAATATGATGAATTCAAGCGCGTTCACATGCACGCGTTCACATGCACGCGCCGAGCGCACATCACATAGGAAAACAGCACAGTTCTGCCACATACCTCCGTGTCTGTAAATAGCCTCCCTCCCTTCCTCTGCATCTTTCCTTTTGGCTCCACTGACAGGCAGTCGGGGCTCATCAATCATTTGGCCTTGAGCCTAACTTGACGGTGGTTGAGGTCACAGCTTTCGATATGAATGTCAAGGCGCAAATAGCAGAGGATTCCTTGTGTTTGTGTGTGTGTGTGTGTGAGATTCTTTAAGAAATTTATGTTCGGTACATCCTATCTTATAGTGTGATCAAATTTTCCATTCCGTTACGATGACAGTCAGTTCACGATGGTTCACATGCCAAATATCATCTAATTAAATACCAAGCATCTCTAGCCACAATTTTAATATGTTGATTTAGGAGTCATAAATCAAGCTGCAGTAATCTCCCATCGCGCTTGCCACCCCATTTATGGCTATTTTTCTACATAGATGGTTTTTTTTTTTTTTTTAAATAGATGAACATATTTTTGTTTTCCTGGCACAGGAACAGCATGGCTTATTCGCTCTCATCGGTCAACGGTTCGGCCGTAGTCTCGTGTATGTGGAATCTTATGAAGGGTTCTCAAAAAGCACAAGTAGGAAAGTGCTGCAAAATGGGAACATTTTAGAATCTCGTTCGGGCTGCCACGAGCTACTGTGAAGTTTCGAACTGCGTGTGAGTCCCTGATGAGTGTTCAAACGTAGCAACAGTCGCACGACGGCAGTTTGCGTGCGTGTGTCCGTCTTGGCGCCCTTTCCTGTTTAAGCCTCGCAAGCACATAAAGTGCGGCCTTACAATAGTCCATTGTCCCGTCCGCCCTCCACTCTTCCTGTCGGGTCAGAATTCACGGAAATAAGGACACGGTGCAAAACAAACAGCGGCGGCTACGGCTCTCTCCACCCTCTCGGTGGGCCCTCCAGGAGAAACTCGTTGCGTAGGCGGCGGCATTCCTGCCAGGAAGCTAATCAGCATCGCATCCCAGTTTGAAATGTATGTAACGTATGTGAATGTTAAATAAGGTTGACCGGAGGCTGAGAAGGGCGGAGAGGAGATGCGTCGGGGTGTACAAAATGAAACCAGACGTGACGGGAATTTCCAACAAAGGCTGTTATGGTTTTACATACGACATTGCTAAAGTGAGTTGCTCGCTCTGCTCCTGGTGTGGGAAATAAAAAGTGCGCATTCCTCGGTTTTTACTTTTTGCATCTTCAGATGAGAAGACATTTTCTTTGATTTCAAATTGCATTTGAATTGGCCATTCAACTCTGTCGCAAAGTCGCCAGCTTCCCCCCCACGTCACTCAAAAGGACAAGCGGATATTTTGGATGCAGTTCTTCGATTGGATCTCAATGGACTCAAAATATTTTAAAAAACACCAAAAGTCACATTCATTCATACGTAGTTGATTACATCCATTTTACGCCAAAATGTATCTTTTAGATGCTAATGCAAAAAACAAAAAACAAAAGGGGTCAATTTAGGTGACTTCAACAGTACGGCTTGTGTTTTATGAAACTCTCAGACGGTCCGTTTTCTGCTCGAGCAATTTTTATCCTTCATTGTATGTCTCTTGTCTACGTTTGGTGCAACGGTGGGATCTCCCTTAAGGAGAAAAAAAAAATCTTTCCATGGGATTTATCTTTCCATGCGGTTATAAAAATGTCATATCTTAAATATAAATGCTGAGTGCTGCGTTGGAGCAGAAATAAAGGATGTGCTGAGGAAGCAGAATGGACTCCACCCTGTATCTCAGCTCTTATTTCTACAATGTGTGTGGGTGTGTGTGTGTGTGTGTGGGGGGGGGGGTCACGACTTTGGCTTGTAAGAACACGTGAGGACATATTGTGTGGTGGAGTGCGTGTGGCATCTTCTGAGAGTGGCTTGCAGATGTCGGAGTCAGACTGTGGCTATGGACTGGCTGGACGGATCATCTCGATTCGAACCATGCAACACACCGATGAAAGCAAGAACCGGCCACGCCAAGCGCAGGCTCCTGCACCTCATGAATGTAATGTTATGCCATGAATACTGAGTGTATTGTACTCCTGTTAAATTGGGGTTCAGAGCTCTGCAACATAACAATAAACATGACATTTTCGCCTCACTTTTTTTTTTTTTCCTGTGTTTGGATTCCCAACTGCGCTCGCAGTTGTGTAACAACGGGGGAGTAGATTCCTCGCTGATTTAGACATTGCATTATTTGGCAAGAGGTCCTGTCAGTTCCTCGGTGTAAGTCATCATCTTGTCTTCATTCAACAGTTTGCTTTCTTCACTGTCTTTTCACAGGCTCGGGATCATTCTTGGAGGAACGGTTAGGAGCCATCACTTGCCGTTCACAAGTCGTTTACATCAGAGTTGGGAAATAAACGTAACACGGTCTAGTCAAAGGTATCTGGAAATACTTACTGCGTTGTATAATCACATCGGTGGCTTAAGGCTACGGTGGAAATATTGGTAGCTTAATAATGACATGGAGCAAAGAGGAGAAAAAGCCTGACGGCGACTCGCAAAACTCCCGAGAGGACAGCGGGCCAAGCTCGTGCCGCACATTTCAAGGCGATGAGAGAATGGAGCGGCGTTTTATATATTGCCATCTGTGTTTTGTTGTGCATGCCTTCTCTGCAAACGTGATTAATTGGAGCTTCAGGAATGTGCGCGCACTGTTTAGTCTTCAGCGGCCCCGAGTCGTCGGCCCCTGACCCAACCAGGGAACCAGAACACCTCTAAAAGCCATCAGACGTCACCTTATCTAAACGCAGCGCAGGAGAGCGGCGGCCTCCTCCTCCTCCCATTGGTCCATCCATCCTGTCCTTCGTCATAAACCAAATTCAGTCTCCCCTTAAGAGTATTTTGATCACCGCAGACTCCGACCCGGACGGATTGGCATTTCCTGTGGGCGGAGCCGGGGAGCAGACGCATTCTTGGGCCAGTCACCTTCACTTCCTGTCTCTGCAAACACCCCACTGAAACCCAAGCAGTGTGGACCAGCGTTGCGCTTTACTTTCTCATCGACGATGCGTTGCACTATAGAGTACTCCCGTTCCTAGAGGCTCGTGTAAGACAAAGCTGAACAAGGCCGCCATATCGGTTTGGTGATATTGAAGGGAACGGAACTTCCAGAATGTTGCGGTGTTTTGTCGCGCTTCGGCAACACATCACACAACGCAACGGCAAGGACAAAGACGTGAAAAATAGTTAGAAGAACCCATCCCGTGCCACCAGGAGCGGAGCTACATGCTCGCCATTCACACTCTCTGGCCACCCCGCATCGAGAGGAAAATTTTGATACCAGTACATTTTCTGCCATTTTCACAGGATGGAGTATTCCTGGATCCTTTGAGACTGCCACATGACAGATTATTAGACATTACACCCATGGGGCTCCAGATTCAGCGAAAAAAAAAAAAGAAAAACGGCTTTGAGAGAAAACAATAGCTTCTCCAACTTGAAATTATTTTTTTTCAGCCTGCTGAATCTAGCACACCCAAATGATATAGTTAATTGCATTTTATTACAATCATTCTTTGTAGATGCACTACCGTGGCGTTATTTTCCTCTCACTTGTTTGTTTGGAAGCTATAAATGATACATAGTTGAACTGTATTATAATGAGGAATTACATATATTTTGTGTTGGGTAATTGTTTCACTTAAAATCCAGGTGACCGTGGGAAAAGTTTCAACTTGACAGGAGACCTGGCTGAAAATGTCCCGTGTGTCATTTTATGAGGCACAGGGCAACCACGGTAATGCGTTTCACTGACTCGTGCCCCTGAATCGCACAATTTTTTTGGGTCTATATTTTCCATTTCATGTGTTTTATTCCCTGCTGCGTTCACAACTCAATCAGCGTTTTTTCAAGACTTCACTCTCAAGGAATGTATTCCTGAGTGTGTGAATGCATATTTCTGCGCACGACGGTGAGTGTGAGGAGGTGTGACAATCAATTACAGTCCTCCCTGGGGTCGGCAGCTGCACCAGAGTGTTAATATTCGACAGCTGGAACTGTCAGTGGGTTTTACGATTGATGCAAGTGTTGTAAGCAGACCTCAAGCCAATCAGTCTATTGCACTCCATGTGCCGCACTTGTAAATGGAGTCATTGTACATTCACATGTAAAAGACTTACACATTTTGGAACTGGGATAAAAAAAAAAAATACATACCAGGAGGTTTAAAAAGCTAAAATGTAACATGGGCCACATCGAATCACACAGATTGTATAAAGTAGCAATGACTAAGAATATTGTTGCTGAACATGCATGATTTTGGAATGCGGGAGGAAGGAACTCTAAAAGGGGAGTTTGAAGGCGAGAATCGATCCTGGAACCTCAGAAATTTGAGGCAGACATGCGTAACCACTACCGAACTATGCACTGACTTGAATTATGATTTTTCTTTCAAAAATGCTTCCAATTCTATCATTGGACAAATCGTTTTAACATCACCTTACATTTTAGGAAGGCTTTGATCATTGAAGGAATGAAATTATTCTTTGTAAAAGATTGGTTAAAAAAACTACATGAATGTAGAAGATGATCTACTTTCCGTGGTACAGCATCCATAAAGCAAAGCTGTAATTACAAACTGCAAGTGTACCGTAATTTGGTAAAATTACTCCCTCTTGTGGGCGATCCTGAACACTACGCCTGACTCACAAAATGTATCACGCATTTTAAACTGAACGCAATTTACTCTTGAAAGTTTGTTGAATGATAAACAACGCAATTGTTTTTTTTTAATTCTATTTCATCACAGATGAGAACACAAAGAGATTGCTTTCAGCTCATTTGCACGAGATATTCCGTTGTACTGATAAGTGTAGACATTTTGTGTTGTTTCAAAATAATTATCTCGTTATAATTTCCAGTGAGTTTAATATTCACAATTAAAGAAAAAATCAGTCACCTCATTTGGAACACAGTGGTAAAGATATTTTGGCATTCAAAATGTGGGAAAAAAGACGACTTTATAACTTAATTCTCCCTTACAAACAATTATGACCTTTTGAATGATAACAATTACCGATAATTCCAATACTCATGTCAGTAAACTTTCATTGAAATGAGCTTCAGTGGGTGATGACTTTAATTGACAGTATCTGTACTTTTACTTGAGTACAGAGCTGAGGAGTGAGCGTGTGTACTTCTGCACCCTCTCCTACTCAAAATCTCCAGAAAGCCTGCGTGTTTTCCTTCTCCCGGCCCCTACAAGTAAAATGTGATCTTTGTTTCTGCAAGTGTCTGGAAGTTTATGAAGGTCAAAAAGCGTTTTTCGCGATGCATCCCTCCCTACCGCAGGCAACCAGTCAGAGCGCTTCCACGCAGTTGCCACTGGCTGCTGGCCATTGGAGACTCTTCATGCTGAGCAGCAAAATGGCCGCCCGTCGACCGACTGACTCCACAGCGCTTTGAATTTGAACATTTCTGCATATTTTTGCTTCGCTCCGCAGCAACCATAGTACTTCTTTACCAGCCAGTGGCGCGTTGCGCGTGTATTTCTATTATAGTTCATTTACTTGACGTATCCGCTCAGGCGTCGCTGTTCTTGTAGCTTCGACGAATGCCTCAGAAAGCTAAGAAGAAAAAAACGCACTGAAGCACTTTAAGCTAGTTAGCACGCTAGCTTTTCTTTATATGTGATTGCTGAGGTGAGTACCGCAATTTCTCCTTGTCGTTTTACTGTTTCCCCCCATGCGTGCAAATGCAAATTCACCAAACGCAGCGTTGTCTTGATGGTTTGCCTGATAGCTATCATTTTGTGCTCATGCTAACGCTATTAGCCTGAGCTACTTGTGGCTGTCAAGGTGTAGCATTAGCTCGGATTGTGTTTTTATATTCAGAGGTCAGCATTTGCTTTATAGCACAGTGCATTTGCTATAAAGGCGCTTTGTTTACACAACAAAGACCAGCTTCTTTACTTAGACGGGTGACAATTGATAATTGTGTTTTCTTTCGGATTTGGGGAGTCAGGAAATTTTCAGCCACTCCTGTTAGCCACCAGCGGAAGAAGGATACATTATGGATTGTTTACACCTGTAAAGGCCTGTATATACATCACGTCAGCCACTTCATATTGTGCTTTGTTGAGGTTAGTTGACTCTCTGTTCCTCGAAAAGATTTTCCTCCACCTTCCAAGCAACCAGTCGTTTCCAAAATGTAGCCCTGTGACATTAGCAAACTGCTCATGCCATAATGACTGGAAGGTTAAAAGATAATGCATCATCATATTTTATCTAATGCAATAGTGATTGGGCCCAGTTCGTTGTTTTATACCCAACATGGGCTTTGTTGGGTATTGGTATACACACGATGTTTTCCTGGCTTTTAGGAGCGCAAGCAATACTTAAAATGAATCACAAGCATTATCCTGGAAATGGCCATTGATTCTTTTCAAAGAGCGGTTTGTGTTTTGTAATCCCTATATTTGTCCTCTTTACCGTTGTATACCACTGTACCATCCCTGGCATTATTTGGTGCTCTGGTGTTGCGCACTATTGTACCGTAAAATGCTCTTGAATATTAATGTGTGCTGAAGGAGACAAAATAACGTATGAACATTCAGTTCAAGAAGTATTTACAGGATGACTCGGCTGACTTAAAGAACTACCTTTCAACTAGTTGAACTTAAAACTGGGATCAGTTTACGCAACGCTTGTGTGTGTATGATGGGAATAATAATTACTGTATTTGTGGCCCCATTCTTAGCTCTGCCACCCGATGGCTCATTAATCCTTTAAATCCCACCGAATATGATGCTTTACACATGTAGGTGGTCTCACATGGCTCTGATGCAATGTTGATATTGGCCTTTTCTGCTTCTTATGCTTCAGCATTTGTGTGTGTGCGCTTGCTTGCATCCAGAATTGAACCGAGTAATGAACTGTAGTTTTAAATATCCTGATTATCCTTCCAGAAGAAAGGAGTTTCACGACTGGAGCAGTCGTTCATGGAAGACAAGAAAAGGAAAAAAGAAGAAAAAAGGAAAAGGGAAGCCTCACAGAAGGTATGTTCAATTTGTTTTGATCACAATATTAATGACAATCACCCAACATTTCTGATAGAAGTGCTTTTGTCAAGCAAAAAAAAAAAAAATCATGTTTATCCAGAGGAATCTCCAAAATTGATTAGGATCTATTCAGTGGCTCTCATGTTGAGTATAAGCCATGTCCGAAGACAGATATTTGCTGCGACTTGTGCATTTCAAATTGTTGTTTTCAGTTACTGAGGGGAGCTTCTTTGGTTTTATCCGCTACTGTCAGTGCCACCAAATGGAAGTCAAACAAATAATGAGCCTCATCGCAATTTGAATGAGTGAATTGGATTTCAATCATGGCACCAGTTACAGCTTAATGATTCTGTAATATGTATCTTGTCTTTTCTTTTTAGGTTACGGAACAAAAGAACAAAGGTAAGATGTACAGTAATGTAAAAAAGTAAAGTTCAATTGCTTTGATATTAAAACAATCTGCCCCCATGTCATCACGTTTTTTCCCCCCTTCTTTCAGCTACTATTTATTTATATGATCTTGAGTAGTTTGTTTACACTTGAAAATACCCATTCTAATTGACTTGTTTTGAATCCCATATTTTGTGCTCAGCACCCCCCTCCCCCAGTTTAAAGATGTTCCTTGTTGATTATTAACTGTGCATTTTTGCCTCCTCTTTTCCACTCGCGGCTTCATCATTCAGTGCTAGATTTGACCAAGCAGTCGTCTGCGCATCCTCCTGCAAATCAGAGCAGCTCTGCCTCCCCCAGCCCTGGACCCTCCCCCTCTGCATCCCCATCCCCAGCCACTTCAGGCCCTGGCAGTGCTGCCGCCCAGTCACAGGGTGGTAACAATGCCAAGCGCCTTGCTGTGGCCAACGGACAGCCCACCTCCACCTCCAGTTCTTCCTCTGCCACAGGCAGCACAAGTGTTACAGGGAACGGGAATTCAAGTAGCGGAGGTGCGGCCCAGGCGCCTCAGCAGCAACCTCGCTATATGCCGAGAGAAGTGCCGCCGAGATTCCGCTGCCAGCAGGACCATAAAGTGCTACTGAAAAGGGGGCAGCCACCACTGTCCTCCATGCTGCTGGGAGGGGGAGGAGGAGGAGGAGGAGGAGGAGGGGATCCCCCCAATGCAAACACGGCTGCTGTCTCAGGTATGAGTTACTCAATGTTTGGTGGAAAATTGACCACTGCCTGAAATTCCCTTCTACAAGTAAGCCTCTGATCCTTTCAGATTCTGGTGCAGCTACCACCTCATTGGCCCTCACCTCATCATCAGTTGCTGCTTCTACCACTACTTCTAATTATGCAAATTCCATGTGGGGCACAAGCTTAGGCAGCCAGGCTTCCTCTCAGGGCAGGGAGAAGGTGATTGTAGATGGGAACGACCTGGAAGAGTGGCCCAG